GCCTGCTTCTCCCTCTCCCACTCCCCCTGCTTGTGTTCCTGCTCTCGCTGTGTCTCTCTCTGTCAAATAAATAAATAAAATCTTTTAAAAAAAAGAAAAGTTAAACAAATATTAGCATTAGATTAAGCTGTCACTAATACCGTCCTCATGTTTCTAAGGTACAGATACCATACAGGCAACTTAAATGAGAAGTGTTGTTCTGACAAAAACATTCTGTGGCACCCCTACTGGGAATTAACTAACACTAAGCAGATGTTCAGGTGACCGGTGGGGTCAAGTTGAGGGCATCTAAGTGTGTCCTATGTGAAGGCTGCTCTGGGAGGAAAGAGATACAGCTCTGAGCAACTAGTGGTCGAGCAGCCCCTGATAGAGCCATGAGCCTGGTCAGCCCTGACCATTCAGCTGGCCCATCTCCCTCCCACTGAAAAGTCTCTACAAAGGGAAGGGTCTCTGAGTGATAAGACAGAGGATGGGGAAACTCACTCCTGGACATTAACTGCTGCGTGTACAGAGGTCAGCTTTAGCAAAGGGTATTAACGTAAGCAAGACTGCAAACGCTCTACCAGGCCCAGCAAACTGAGCTGGTGTGGCTTTGTCTCTGCTCTGTGGGGCCTCCCTCTGCTTCCAGGGTCAATCTTCTAACTACAGGTCTAATCACACCCTTTTTCCTTGTTGGAGACTGCACTCTCAGCACAGCGCAATGCCCCTCAGGACCTGACTCCACCCAGCTCACCATCTGTCCTCCCACCTCCCCACTGGGGACACTGCTGCACTAACAGGAGAACCAATAGCCTCAAGGATCCTCTGGAGTCCTCAGGCTCTGCCTCGTACCGATGCTGCCACCCCCATTCTGTCCATTGGGAAGTCCCCACTCACTTCTCAAAACAGCTTAAATGGCTCCTTGCTGGGAAGCCCTTCCTGATCCTCCGTACCCCATCAACAGGTGCTCAGCTGTTCCAAGAGAACTTTGCTCACATCTCCATCAGGGTTCATGTCTCTGGGTTGTAACTGATTATGTGAATGAACAATGTCTACAATCTCTCCATACGTCTCCCAGTATACTAATAAAAGCCACATACAAAACAATGTTGCCTCTCACTGACAGGGTATCAGACTCTATCTAGTATGACAAAGCTTTCTTATTTTAAAAAACTGACCTCTGTATAATCTGACACAAAAAATGAGGTTGTTCCATCATATTCCACAAAATGCCTTGGGAATAATTTCACCCATGTTTCATCTCCATAAAAGATAATTCTTTTCCCAGCTGCTTTTGCCTGTGTGATCACATTGTCTTCCAGCAGTGCAGGGGAATTGAGGTTCCTGACAACATCAATGAAACCAGGGAGGCTCCCTGTCATCAACGCCTGCAGGAGGAAACATTCAAGAAATTAGACTACGGAATCCAAAGCGTAGCATGGGAAGGAGCGCCAAAGATCATATTACGGATGAAAGAGGAGAGCATAAAACTAGGACACCCCCAATACTGGAAGCTGGGTCAGTGGTAGGACAGAGGGGAAAGCTGCACACAGCATCTGGCAAACTAGCAAACTTGATCTCAAAGACTTGACTGTATTTCAGCCAATGAGAGGATGAAGGTGGAGGCAGTGGGCAGCTGGATGACCGTGACAGACAGAAAAGCTGTAGATTATAGCAACTGAAGAAAATGGCAAAGTGTGGTTTGCACTGAAAACATAAACCTGTATACTCCACTTCCCATCAGGTCCTCACCTAAGCTTCAAATCTGTTCTGTGTGACGAGCAGACTCCATGTACTCATCTCACAACCTAGCAATTCTAATGTCCATGCCATGTGAACGAGCAGCCTCTCACACACCCTGGAAGGAAAGCAGTCTCTAAGCAAGAACTCTTAGAAATTCTCATAGTAAACTGGCCCAGGGATGCTGGTGGGACACCCCTGCTCCGCATGCACACACACACACACAGACACAGCACCGTAATTTCTGGGAGGAAAGGGTGGGTGTGACGTATCCCCATGCCTTTCTGACATAGAATTTTGTCAACAACCTCCCTCGCTTTAGCACAGAGTCTAAGAGGCCATAGTAATGGTTCATGTGTCTCCTGTGATCTAGAGTTATCCAACAACCCATGACACTGGCATCCAGGGACCGACCTGTGCAATGAAAATAAACAGAAATCTGTATCATGCCAATAGGCATAATTTCGCCAGGTCTTCTTTAACAGCAAAAACAGCAAATAGGAATTAACCTGATTTCTGGAATGTCAGAGGAGCTCGGCAAATCCTCTCCCCTAAGAGCAATGATAAAATGGGATAGAACTGCCCAAAACAACCATTTCAAGATTTTGAAAACTTACGAAGGATATACAACAAATTGAGAAGTTCTTATCTAAGACAAACTACTGAATCTCACAGTAAGAGCTGTGAGTATCTGTGGTGTTTTAACAGAGGCTGCCCCCGCCCCCTCCCCCTGTGACATAGTGGCCACGGGGACCCAGAGGGGTCCATCTGACCTGGAGCTGCACGGAGAAGTCCCATGCCAGGGATGTGTTGAAAACAAGGAAGGCCAACATCACAGCTGCCTCAGGCATCAATGCTGTTTGTGGTAAGAGACAAGCCCAACATTTACAAATGGGATCTGGGGGGAACCTGGGTGGTTCAGTCGGTTAAGCATCTGCCTTCAGCTCAGGTCATGATCCCAGAGTCCTGGGATCGAGCCCTGCATCGTCAGGCCCTGCTCAGTGGGGAGTCTGCTTCTCCTTCTCCCTCTCCCCCAGCTTGTGCTCTCTCGTGCTCACTCTCAAATAAATAAAATCTTTTAAAAAAAATGGGATCTGGGTTAGGGGTGCCTGGGTGGCTCAGTCGGTTAAGCGTCTGCCTTTAGCTCAAGTCATGATCCCGGGGTCCTGGGATTGAGCCCCGCATCGTCGGGCTCCCCGCTCAGTGGGGAGCCTGCTT